ATCCTTATTTGCTCCAAAAGGGAAGAAAGGTGCATGTACAAGACTTCCCTCACAGCAAGTCAAGAGGCACATGAAGCAGAGCTGCTGGCAGGACATCGGGAACTGAATCCTCCCTGAGCTCCAGAGGCCCCCTCTCTGCCCCCTCTCTGGCCCCTTCTCTGCCCATGACCTCTGACAAGAGGGAAACTCCCGAGTGAGCAGGGGTCATTTAGGACGAGGCTAGCGAGACAGGGCAAAGCCCCAAGGGATTGTGGGCAATTGCTTTTTTTTTTGGTAGGGACTGGGAAGGCACCAATAGCCCTCCTTTTCCCCGCCTTCTTTTCAGACAAGGTCCATTCAGTATGAGGTGGCTTTGAAAAGCTGGGCCACCCAGCAGCTAGGCCCGGCCCTGACCAGAGGGACCTCGCCCTGTTCCTGGCTGAGGCTGTGGTCTGTTCTCCTCAGTTCACCCCGTCCCTGCCCAGGCACGTGTCTGTGTTCACGTGTGTGAACACACGCAGGAACCCTCTTGGCCCTTGGGTCTCCCTTGCACCTTTGTCCCTTTCATAGCCATACCACAGAAATCACAAGCTGAATAAGGCAGTAGGCCCGGGCCCCAGAGACTCTGCTTGCCCTGGTGCCTCGGGGAAATGAGAAGCTCTGGACTCCTTCCCAAACTATGCAGGAGAAAGAAGACTGGGTAGATACAGGGACAAACACCTGCTAACAGAAGGTTTCTGAAGCCAGTGAGTCCAACTGGCTTATTTTATGATGACCGCTCAGATTAGAAGGCAAAGGACATTGCCAAGGTCACCCAAGCAGCCAGCGGCAGAGTTGGACTGAGAAGCCACATCCCTTAGCTCTCAGGCTGGAGGCAGGACTCTTGGTAAAAAGGGTCCTCAGCAAATCCATGGGCAGGAGCTGTCTCTCTAGTATAATTCTTTTGTTTTGTTGGTTTTGGTTTTTTGAGACAGGTCTCACTATGTAGTTGAGACTGACCTGGAACTCACTATGTAGCCCAGGCTGGTCTCGAACTCCCAGTGATTCTCCTGCCTCAGCCTCCTGAGTACTGGGATTACAGGTGTGTGCCTCTACGCCCAGCTCTCCAGTATAATTCTAGCCCTCAGGCTACAGCACAAAGCTAGGGAAAGGTCACCAACCCCATCCTAAAGTCCTATAGCTTTTGTTACTCCAGAAAAAGCACGAAAGCTGGTGTGACAAATAGGACTATCTACTACGTGCCAGGCAGCCTGCTGGGCTATCTCTCTATATGAGCTCATTTAATCGCCCCAACAGCACTGTAAGGTGCGTGCTCACTTTACACATGAAAAAACTGCACTGAGTCATTCATCCAAAGTCATACAGCACTGGGATTGAAACCTAGGACTTTCTCCAGACTGTGCCCTAACCACAACCAGGCTTCTCACTACTTTTCACCTCTCCACCCTAACCCAAAAGCCCACAAGACAATGCCCAAGCCAGGGTGCCAAGCCATCTCTTCCCCTGCCCAGGAGTAAACAAAGGTGAAAGTGATATTGCTCAAACAAAGAAACAGAGACTTGGCTGGAATACCAGGGAGGAGTTGAGGGTCAGGGCTTGGTTAACTGTAAAGGAAGGAATGAGAGCTTTTCCCCAAACACCCTCCTTCCTAGGGAAGGCAGAGCCTTTTTTCAGGAAGCAAGAACAGAAGGGTAATAACGGCAAGCCAAATTTGGGGGGTGCGGATGAGTATTCTTGGGCTCCAACTGCTGTACCCACCGCAGTGATTCTGGCAGAAGATCCTCAGCAGGGTGTGTAGTACACACCTCCACCCGTGGCAGCATTCTAAAGGGCCTGAAGGAACGGGCAAGATCCACCAGCAAACCAGAGCCTCGCTACTTCCTAACTGCATGAGCC